TATCGATTATGGGACACCAAACATTGTCACGAAACTGACCTTGATGGAGTTGAACTTGACTTCTCAACATAATATAGAAGCAATTATAGCTATCAAGTAAAAAAAATTCGTTGTATAGTCATTACGCGAAAATCATTGCAAATTGAAAGAAATCTATTCAAGCCATCGTATCGCATATAAAAAATAACGAAACTTTGTGCTCTTCTATTTTCCTCATAAATCGTACCACTTACGAGAAAAACGCTGGAAAGTAGGTAATAGCGTGAACAGTCTGCATATTTTTACTAATATATGATACTAACTTTAGCGATGAAATCTAATTTAAACCATATAATACTTTCTATACGAACATAGTACAGTTTCTTAAATAGCTTAAACAGATTTACAATACTTGAATCGACAAATAAAATAAATAAACGAATTAAATGTTTTCATCGCTGGTAATTCTAAATGTGGCATTAAAATGAAACATTTGCATACTTTTCTATAATGAATTTTTTTTTATACTGTGACATAAATGTTCCATATAGGTATTTTCAATTTACGATTTAAATATACATCGTAATAAATAATATCGAAAATTCCAAAAATTTTATTAGAGACAATTAAATAGGAGGATAACGAAACATTATATTGTTTATGTGATTAAGAAAATGTATGTTACTGTAACACTGATACGTACGTTATATACTAAATATGTATTTTGCTACGCTGATACCAAAGGTCACTGTGTCGAATATCTCTGACACACAGTAAAACAGTGACGTACACGTATCTTTCACTTTTCACGTATCCTTCATTTTTGCATAAACTTCACCGCTCAAATCGATGTTTTAAACATGTATAGATTGCGTAACTTCGCATATATTAATTATATCGTCTATTAAAAATATCTCATATACTTAAAATTCATCGTTTAAACGCATTAATTACAATAAATTTCATCTTATTTATCTACTGTATCCTACATGTTATTTCTCTATACGCTTAAATTATTTTTTATCGTCAAATTCATCAAGGTTCATCCTAAATACCATTTGAACTTTAATTGTCGATAAGGTAGGATTTCGATAAAAAAAAAGGTCTTCAAACTAAATACGGCACTGAGATACGCGAAATGCAATATCTTATTAGTCATTGACTAGTTTCAGTTTGAACTAACAGCGTCTACGAGTTCGTTCATTGATCGACTCTGTGGCTTCGTTTTTCTATAGTTCCAGTTTTTCAATCGGTCTCGTGCCATGCAGTCGTCTTATAAAGCAATTATAATATGTAGGTTTACGTATCAAATACACGCATGTCATGTTTTTTTATTTTTTTTTTCAAAATCATAACGACTCGTATAAAATAACAAACGCAGATAAATCATTATTATCACGATTAAGGACCATCGATGTTACCATTGGATACAGTCAGACTTATTTTTAGTTCGAATGTTTCACCGCAAAATAAATTCAATTACATCGAAATACTCGTAGCTTGTAATTTTTCATAAGAACGGTATTTAGTATTTGTAGCTGTTGCAGTATGCGCGTACGAACCTCCCAAAGACGATCCCCCTTGTAGTTGTGAACATTGCAACACTGTAACGAAGAGCGATAAAGAAGACGACAAGAAACTGAAAATGTACGAAGAGGACAGCGACGGCGATGGTAACTACACTATTTGCGCGCGAGATCGTGATTTCAATGATCGAACATTTCCAAACGTTTGTCACATGTTATGTTTCAATCGCTGTTTGATACTGCGATATTCGACTGTCACGGTGAATAACACGAAGAAATACGCCGCGAATGCTTATAGAAACAGTAAGTAACGATAATGAATTTTTTAATTTCCGTTCTTTAACGAAAGTATTGCATTTGACTTTTTAGATTATTACAAACTGCGAGACGGCGGATGTTGACGACCTTTTCCTTCTGAATTCGTGTAACCGTACTACGACATCGTGGTTTTAGCTGGGACGAAGTGCTGCGAGGTTAGTAAATAGTTTTGCAATTTAGTGAACACAGCAACGTGTCGAGCGCATTATGGTTAACACAAAGACGTGTGTATTGTATATAAATCACGGAAATGATATGTATATTCGTAAATATTTTATAAATTGAAAATATAGATTGATACATGTTTTGCTTATGACATTGATGTTTAATACCGAATTATTCGATATTGTTTCTGGAGCACCAATATTCGTTGATTATCATTAATAAATTTCAATTAAAAATTATGCATATTAATTTTATAGTTATACGTAAAAATTTTTATTACGAATTTGATAGTAACGACTGAAGATTTTACGTTTTTTCATTTGTTGAAAAAGGTATTGTACAGATATTACACATACGTACACAGCAATACGAACAGTATTGACACACACGTTCATTCAATTTTCGTTTTGTACAGTACGAATTAAGAACTGTTCTGTATTAACGAACAAATTTTCATACGTTATTTTGAATAAAATGTAGTTACATATTCTGTGAAAAGAGAGTCAATGAATTTTTAGCAAAAGTAATAAAGTGTGAAATATTAAACCTGCTTGTTATTACGAGTGGGCAATTTTTGAGCAAACAAAAATGAACAGATATACAAATTAAAAAATCTTGGATTTACA